TCTTATTAATCCAGTTCTTTATTTATTGTCATATGTTACTAATTCTTATTTATCGAATCTTAACAAATTGAATCCTATTGTATGCATAAAACATGGTAAAAATTTTTTTTTTTTTCTTAAATTATAATGTAAAACCTGATTAACATTAATTACTCAAATGAAAATTCAAAAATAAAATAAAATTAAAATATTTTAGTTACATTAAACCAAGGCACATCATACAATTTTTTACCAAAAATAAATTCTAAATAATTCGAAATTTTATGCTTACAAATTTCTTATTTAAAAACTTAAGACATTTTGATTTATTTGAGCAGATAAAAGTGATTGTTTTATCCTTAAATAAATAAGATTATTAAAAAAATATTAACAGTACAAAAAAAAAATTAAAAATTTTTCTGTTTTCTTATTCAAATATTGTTTGTTTTTTCGTAAGTACAACTTAAATATATCCGACAATATTAAGGCAATCTGTTATTAAACTTGTCAGTTATCAGATTATTTATATAATCTACATGATATTTTTAACATTCTTTATAATCCCATATAATGTTAACCGATAAATGGAATTTATTAGAGATTTTCCTGCTGTAAGAATGTACGTGTAGTTCCGAAATTAGAAAATTCGTATACGAATATAAAAATATTAAGAAATATTTATATAAAATGGATTAATTTAGAAATTGTAAAAAGATTTCTTGGAAAAAAATGGAGAAAAAATAAAAAGATATTTGAGCAGGAAAATATATTGTTAATATTAGCAGGAAGACAATTGCTTAAACAATATTGTGAGAGCTTAAATTTTGTCTTTGTTTTAAAGATTCTTACATGTACGCCTAGTTGTATGCAATTTTTTTTATTTTCCCTTTAATAAGTTTAAATATTTTATTTTAAAATCAGATAGTCTTTCTGCTCTTAATGAAATCAAAAATTTTAGAAATAGCCAGCCAATCATTCGGACAATTCACAATATTTTTTTTGTTTTAACAAAAAGAAAATTAGTAATTATATATGTAAATGCGGGGGCGCAAGACGCTAGATATCACAAAAATGGTTTTGTTAGATATCACAAAAATTTACACATTCCATCTAGGTCATGTATATGTTCACGAAGAAATATCTATTTTATATTACTAGTGTATCAACTAGTTCCTTTTGTGACAATATCTTGAATGTTAAACATATTTTTATGAAATTGTCTGTTACGAGGTATGCTGCTCCATAGATTTCAATGATATTTTGCTTCCGATAACTGAGAATATCAATTTCATTTAGAGCATTTGTGATTTATTTAACATGTGGAATCTGATTTAATTCATCTTACTGTGTACTTAAATTAACTTAATATTTTTATAATAATGTTCGAAATTTTGCACTAAAACCTTTATTTTATAATAAATTAAATATAAAATTTTCAAAAATTTCAAATTTATTATGTTATTTTATAATTACAAAGTTAATTTTCAGCATATTTTTTCAAAAATTTTATATAAAATTCAAAAAGAAAAACAACGCCCTCATAAAATAACAACCATTTGTGTCAATTTAAATCCTCTTATTACACTGTTGGAAAATTCTACATAAGTAGCTACATAAAATATTCAACAAATTTTTTTATTTGCTACACTCCGAAAAAAAAACAACAGCAAACAACAATGTTTTTGTTTTTTATACTCCCTAAAATTTTTTATTTAACATAGAAGCCGAACAAATAATAAAATATAAATTTATATAAAATTTTTTTATTTAAATTGGTGTTAAAAATATTAACGGTATAATAATCATAAAATTATAAAATTTGCATTTTTTTGATACATTAAAATCGTTTTAAATAATAAAAATTTCATAGCTAAAAATTTATAAAAAAAAAGGAAGAGAATATTATATAAAATAAGTTTATTGTTTTCAATAAAGTCTTAAAATATATTTTATGGAAATTAATAAAATTTACAATAAAAAGTGAACCAACACCATTCTTAATTTCACAATTATAACACCATATTCTAAGTTATTTATGTAGTATAAAATTATAAATTGTTTAACGTTGGTAAAAGGGGTTAAATGGTGACAAAAGGAGGTAATTTATTGCTTTAATTCCAGGTTTCAAGTGAGAATTCTATATTAAAGTAAAAAGGAAGGATATTTTGAACAAGAAAATATACGTAGCTTTGAAAATATATGGGTAATAACTAGGAATATAAGAAAAGTTTTAATGCCGACATTCTTTTAATCTTGTTGTGGTTATCGTTGAAAGCTTTAATTACAAAAAACGAAATATAGAATTTCTGAATTAGAATTTAAAAATTTGTGAAAATTCAATTAGTTAGCATATTAACATTAATTAAATAGACCTAATTCGGGGTTACATTTATATTGTATTAAAAGTTTTAGGTATTTAATTTTCAATAAATTCGATTTGAACGAATTAAATTCTATGCGGCTTTAAAATTAAAATTCAAATACTTGCATTATTGTATAACTTCTAACCAGGAAATTAAAATATGGTAGTAAAACGTGTAAATTTAGTAAAGAATTAATTTCAATAAAATTGAAAATGTTAAAATTTTCCTTGGGAAAAAAACAATTTAAATTATAACAAAAAAATATTATACTCTAAGTAGATTTTTCCATAAACAAATAAATTGTAAGAAATACAATAAACATCCCTCATGATTTTATAGAATTATGAAGTCTAATACACCTGCCCGCCCACCTACATAAAGTATTTTTGATATTACTGAAATAAATTTATAATAGAATAAAAGCTATTCAAAAAACCCAAAAAAAAATATTTTTTTTAGAAAGTTTAAAATTGAAAAAAGAAAAATCAACTTTTCAGAAAAGTTCAACAAAGACGGCCTTTCAATACAAAATAAAATCATTTCTTTTTCCTGTTATAATTCTAATTTTGTTGTGAAGTACTTAATATATTGGTAAGTATGACCTTTCTAAATAAATGTTACTTAAAATTTTTAATAACTGTAAACATGAAATTTTTCAATAGAAAAATTAAAATATTCAAATTTGAGATAGCAACAACCGATTGTACAAAATTTGTGAAAAGGTCACTGAAATTCTAAAAAACAAAAAAAAAAAATAATTAAAAAAATAATGTCATAGGTGATTTTTTTTTAAATTAAAATTTTCAATAATTGCTCTTGTGTTCTGATAAGAAATTTTTAAATTATTTTTTAATTTTGTAAAGGAAAATAATCAAAGGAATTTCTAATAAAATACAAAAGGTCACTTAAAATTTAGTTAACAGAAACTGTTAAAATTCTGTTTACATTCACTAAAAATGTTATCACTTAAAAAAAAAATAAATGTGAATCGAAAACTTGTCAATAATGCTGTTGAAAATTGCAACAATTTTTTTTCTCATTTTAATAAAAATTTTAAATTAGTCTTATAATCTTACACACTCCAATACAGTATAGAGAAAGAGAGAACGTTTATATTTTAAAAACCCACCTCTGCTCATATATTATTGCTTTGTTTTTCTTTTTTGTTTATTATTTTACTCATTTTACTCGAAAATTTTTACCGATGTTGGTAATTAATTTTTACATTTTTTAATTTTTGTATATTCTTCCCCTATCTCCTTTGCCTTTTTTCTCTTTAACTGTATAATCGCTACTCTACTCAAGTGCTATACAATATTAAAGAAACAAAAAAAATTTAAGATAACTCTTTCTAAATATTTCCTGTTCTCTTCTCATCCCAGTAGCTCATTTTACCTTAGATTTGTATACATACACATTGTATGAATTTATAATTAGCACCAAGAGTTATACTAAGAGAAAAAAAAAATAAAATATGTAAGCGAAAATTATAATTGTTTATTTTTACCACATGACTCCGGTTTTATTCATTCTACATACGAGTATATATTGCTTTTTTTATTGTATTTTTACCAAACCAAACCATTTTAGAAAAAAAAAATTTAAATTGTGTTGCATTTCTTATTTAAAGAGAGTTTTGTTAACACCAAACGGTTCCGAACATACAATACGAGTAGGTAAGTAGTGAAATGAATAAATTTTTTTTTTGTATAACAATTTTCTACTTATAAAAAATATAAATAAAATATTCTTTTAAAATAAATAATTATCTACCAAATTCGAATTAATTGTATGAATTTTATAGTTGTTGTCGTCGTCATTCTCGCCTCTTGTTATAACAAAGTGAGTTTATATTTTTTATGAAATAGCTGAAAACATTTTTATTCATAAAACTAATACACATATACATATTATAATACCAACACATATACATTTATTATATTACAAAACTTAATATGAAAAAGAGGATAATGTTTTGATTATAACCATGGCATATAAATGTAGAGCGGCGACAGTAAACCAAAAATAAAAAAAAAATAAAAGCGAAATAAGTTAATAACACCAAAAACCAAGCAAATTGCAAAAATAAATAAAAAAAAAATTTTTTTTTTTTTGTTTTTTGTTTAAAAATTCCGATGAATACGAGAAATAAAAGGAATAAAAAAAAATGAATAGCAAATGAATCCTCATAAAAAATACATGAGGAAAAAAAAAATAAACATAAAGTTCCTTAGACCCAAAAAAACAAAAATAAAATAAAGCATGGAAGCAAAAATATTAAAAATAATAAAATCCTTTCAAATCCTTTATTACTACACAAATGAACAGGGAGGAGGATTTAATATAACGAAAAGAGAGAGAGAAAAAAAAAATATAACAACCAACTGAAAAAAACCAGAAAAACCAAAAACCCCAAAACAAAAAAAAAATTAAATTAAATCAACTTAACAGATAAACACATACACACATGACACACACAAATATGTATAAAATATAAATGAAAAAAAAAAAAATTCAAACGCTTACATAACATTAACTTACACCCATACAATTTCAAATAAAGTATTATTTAAGTACGTAAGTATGTATTATGATATTCCTTTCTCTTTTTTGTTTTTTTTTTTGAAATTTAAAATTTTTTAGTTTCATCTTTCTTACCTTGTATGCTCAGAATCATCATTTTCATATTCATCGTCATCTATATCATGATGTTGTTTCACAAAATGGTCATTGTCATCAATTAAAATATCATTATCATCATTAACATTAGAATCAATAGTAACAGATGTAATGGTCGGAGCTATCGTAACAGCACTATGCGGCAAAATATTATGATCAATGCCATCTCTTTTATTTTTTCTACTTCTATTATTAATGTTGCTGCTGTTACTACTACCACTAATAATATTATTACTAACATTATCAACACCATCTCTACTACTAGTTACTGTTGTAACAGTTGTTGTTTCTCTTCTTATTATATCATTATTATTGTTGTTGTTGTTATTATCATTATTTTTGTCGTTATCAATGTCGCCATTGTTTTCATCGTCATCGTCATCATCATCAACCAAAAGTCTTTTTGATTTTTTATCACGTTGTAATGTTGCAATTTTCTTTTCTTCTTCTTGTTTTAATTTTTCTACCTCATCTTTAGATAGAAAAGAGAAAACTTTATCTAGAAAAGTAAAATAAGTAAGAAAAAAAAAAATAAAATGTAAATAATCAAGAAGACAGCAGGTGATAAAAAATGAATAAAAAACAATATAATATAAAAAAAAAAAACTTCTTAAAAAAGAATTAAATGAAGAAAATTAAAAAAAAAAAACAATCATAAACGTTTAATTGTCAACAAGAAAGAAAGGAATTTTTATAAACGTGATGTCGAAACGCTTGTTATCAACCACCTTTAAAAAACCAAAACAAAACAAAAAACTAGGGAGAGATTCAGTTTTATCTCGATTTGTGTTTGATTTTCTACTTTCCCATTTCTCTATTTTTTTCTCATTTTCTTTAATAACATGAAAAATTAAAATTACCGTCAATAAATTATGCTGTCATGAGAAAAGAAAAAAACGTTTAACATTAAAATGGTAAGTATATGTTAAAATTTAAAATTAAATTTTTTCACTGCTTTGACAAAAAAAAAACAGAACTTGGTTTTTATCATCAAACTTAAATTCGCATAACATTAAAAATGTTAATATTTAATTTTGAAAAAAATTTCTTTTTAGTATTTTCTTAAGTATCAGCATTATATTAAAAAATTCGATGCAATTTTAAAGAGTTGTGCATTTACAAATGCAACCCAATCAAAATTTTTAATTGTTGGAATGATTTTATGCTCAAATCGTTTTAAAATTAAATATTTTTCTAGACACAATTTATTTCAAGCTCAGAATACAGTAACGTTACTAAAATCACCAATTTTCGTATTTCTAGAATAAAAAGATGATAAAATAGTGTACTCAATTTAAAATTCCTGTCTTTGATGCTATTCTAATGTGCTCGTATAATTATGAATAAAGTGGTAATTTTTTTCTGAATATCAATATTATCAAATCCCCAAATATCTTGGTCGTATTTGAAAGAAGACAGTAATTGGTTGAGTACAATGTGACTAATAGAACTATGCTAGAAGAAAAATTTATTTTTATTGGTATACGATTCAATGAATACTTTTAATAGATCGTTTATTGTTTTGATTTCAAAATAAAGTATTGGTAACTTCACTCAGCTGTATTCTAAAATTACAGAAACTCCGGTTTGTTCATGAACGAATGCACATTAAAATTTTCTAAATAATTTTTGTTTGTTCCCACTATTGCAATCTACAATTTGTTTTAAAAGGACCATCTTTTCAAAATTCATTACTTTCAACTTTAAACTTGTAACATGACGTATTAGAAAAATCAACATTTTTTTTTTTGGATAATTTAATTGGCCTTAGTTAAATTTTTCATTTAGATTTTATTTGATTCCCAATTTGAAAAATTTTAATTTTAATCTTCATATTTAATCAAATGGGATTCTACAATTTGTGAATTTCAATTTAAAGTTGATAACAAATGGAGCAATTTATTTGATATAATACACTTACAAATACCAAAAATGGATTCACAATATTAATTTTATGTCACCAAATATTAACATCTTCATAATACTTAATTTAAAACTACAATAATAAATTATTGTTAAACCCCACCAACCACACAATTATAATAATAATAAATATGAAGAACCAATTGAAAATTTCAATAATTTTTCACGATATTAACATATACTCAATTGTATGTAAATTATGTATAATCAATTGTACTCTTATACATATTAAATCTCGAATAAAGGCATATGAGTAATGTAATATTGAATATATTCTTGAAAATTTCAATAATTACTTGAATATTCAGTCTTTAAATGACAATAAATATGAAACCGCAATTTAATGCGGGATTAGGATAATAAAATAAAAAATAAAATTATAATAATTATTATAATTTAATAAACATCGCAACTCATATTATTTTAATAATATAAAATTATAATTTTAAGTGTTTAACAACTGCAATATTGTTATAACAACAATAAATTATTATTGTAGAACAATTAATAAAATTAAATACAATTTTCAAACAAAATAAATACTTTGTAATAATTTCCAAAATGAAAATTATTTATAAATATTTTGAAATTTCATTATTCTGCGTAGGCAGAAATTTCAGCGGCTAAATATAGAATTTCTCTTGAAAATACCACCGTTACCTAATGCTATTGTAAACAATTTCATTTTGAAAATTTCATATTAAATTTTTCTTTGAAATTTCACTTTCGAAAATTAAAAAATGTACTTTTAATACTTAGAAACAAAAGACTTTTGAAATATTAATAAAATATTAACTAAAAAAAAAAATTTTACGAAACAAATTTCATTATAAAAATAAAAAAAATATTCTTTTTCTTCTTTTTTGGAGTATTTTTAGAATTGAAAATAAAAATTAAGTACGAACACGGTTTTTATTATGATTTTAAATTAAAAATTTTTACCTTAAGGACAAAAAAGGACTAATATATACACAACTGTATATACGATATGAAATTAATAAAAAATTTTAAATGGAATTTTCATAATTCATTTCAAATTTATTAATATTTAAAAATCATGAAGGTTATACGAATGTTCAAGGACTAGACTATGATTTTTGTAATAAAGTTCCAACAAAATAATTGAAACCTTCTGTTTGTTTTAAAATTTGGTTCATTTGTAAATTAGTAAAAATTGCATATCCGTCGGGGCCCTTGTCTAAACATGCATGCATGTATAAAAATTAACATTGATAAAAACATTTTACTGCACATTAAATGTCATTTGACAACACACTCTCTGATTAAAAACTTGACTAAAAATTGCATACTTTACGGGGTGATAATGGGTTGTTTTTTGCAAAAAATTTTTTGTTTCTCTCATAATCAATACAATTCCTTTTATATAACATTTTTTTATATAAGTGGGAAAGTGACTTTACAGAATATAAGAAATATAAGAAATTAACGAAATTGACAACTCTTGTAACCTCCAATATAATTATTATATTTCATTATAATGAGTCAAGAAATTCAATATTAATTTACAATCAGTTTAATAATTTTCATTCTCAAAAATCATTAACAACTTATTCTTTTTTTTACATGAGCCAATAAAGTAAAAAAAAATTGAAAACTCTTCTTCATTTAAACTTCAAGAAGAATAAAGTTTTTCAAGGAGCTTAATATATCGAAAATTAAGCAATTTTCTACTCATTCATCTTTTATTTCTCAAACCATTGATCAAATCAAAAACTTTTACAGAAAAAAATAAAGAAATGAACAAATAAACCAGAAAATAAAAAATAAATTGAGAAAATATTTTTATTTTCAAATGAATAAAACTGAAAACCAAAACTTCGAAGAAGAAACAAAAAATTATTGAAAATACGAAGAAAAAATAATTCGTAAAAAAATAAAAAAATTTTGTTTTATTTTGGTTTTCCCTTTAACGAAAGTTCTGTGGAAAAATTAAGAAATTACCCAATTCGGTTCTTCAATCGATTATTAACAAATTGTATACAATAAGAAAATTTTTTTTATTGAACGATAAATTGAGTCAAGCAAAAATCAAATTTACTAAAACAATTTATTTATAAATGACCTTATATTGTTGTGAAGGGTAGCGATATACTCATCAAAGGATACTATACTAGTATTACTATTATGTCATATATTGAACTGAGAGTCTTCCCATACAGTCATAATTTGTTAAATTGGAAATGTGAAAGTTTCAAATTTTAATGTTCTATGGGATGAACCAGAAAGATTTCATGACGAAAAACTATTAACACAGACAATCGATTCATAAATTTAAGACGTCATATAGTCTATTATAGGAAAAGAAGCTTTTAATCCAAATTTTTCAACTATTATCAACCGTTTGTAAACGAAAATACTTTATAGTTTTTCAAAAAGAATTCATGAACCATTGAAATTACCAAGGTCATATGATAAATTGAATATTTTTCTTTCAAATAATCCATTTAGAATTATAGATGAAGAATCTTGAAATACAAAAGTCTTTTAAAAATTTGATCTTTATGTTGATAATTTATGAAATAATGATTTATTTTTGAACAAAGAAAAGTTTCGCCATTTTAATTCACCTTATCTGTTCTAAAATTAACCTTAATTAGCCCTATTTATCAATTTAAATTTTAGAGCACCATATCACATTATTCATTGTTCATAATTCTGGCAATAGAGATGTCAATAAAATATCTTCGACAATTTAGCAATCGGTACTTATTGATAATGTTTATTGAAATTATTTTGAAACAAATGCCAAAGGCGTGATAAATAAATTTTATTTCAGTAAAAAAAATCACTTATGTCGAATTTCTATTTCTTTAAAAAAGTATTGAACGTGGCTCTATTTAAAAATCTACTGGCTCTATTAAAAATCTACCGGAATATGAACTGTGGGAGAAGTTAATGAATTTAAAAATTTTAACAATTGCTGTCTAAACACATATATTTCAATATAAAGACCAACAACCAATACAACTACGTTTATTGATTATTCTAAATTGTGGATCTTAGGATTGAAAGGTAAAACGTTAATGAATTTTAATGACAAATTTATCTGTATATTTTTAATTTCTAAAAAATTTGTTTCGAAGTCATTTTGTATAATATAAAAAACTTTTCTATTCAAAAAGAAAAACCCCCACAATATTATAAAATTTTCTAAATAATTTCACTTTTTCCTATCATAATATTTTTACCCTTATTTTTACAAAAAAAATCTAAAAGAAAACCATTAAAATAAATTTAAGAAAAAATGATTGATTAATTTTTATTTAATACCAAAATATTTTCCTTTTCTCAATTCAGTAAAAATTTCACAAAATTAGATCAATAGGATTTAATCTTGCTTTCAATTAACTTAATTTCTTTTATTTCATTAAAAAATATTATTTAATATTTATTATGTTTATTATATACACAATATGTAGACGAAACTTACATGTATATGGGAGGGTGGAAGGGTAATGTTTAAGAAATTCTTATGTCCATGTAATATTCAATTCATAGGGCTTTCGTATGCCTTACAAAATACAAAATCATGTAATTGTCGTTATTTGGACATGACATATTTTCCGGCTCATTTTATTTGATTTTCTAATTTTTTTATTTTTTCTATTGATAAATAACCAAACCTGGTTCTCATCGAATTAAAATTAACTAACTTTTCGTTCAACTAATGGAACATGATGTGAATATAGTTTAACATAAAAGTTGGCAAACCTCATTCTTATATCGTAAAAATTTCTGAATGCGGAAATCAAGCAAAATTATAATATTATGATAACGTAATAAGACTAAATTGTTTTGAAAAGGTTTATTACAAGAATAAATTTAATAATTGTTATTAATTTTAAAAGGATGTGAACAAAAAATTCAAAAATTAAAGGAACCCCCTTTTCCTTCAAAGGGACTTACTTTTAACAAAAAATATAACAATCACTTTCATTTTTTGGATCACCATTTCCCAACCATTATAAATTAAAAGACAAATTACACATGTCAAAAAAAAAACACGTATATAAACACAGATTTTATATGGTCGGTAACAAAAGGAATGAAAACAAACAAAAAAACAAGTAAAAACGTTTTAGTCGACTTAATTACACCCTGCACTTTGGCAATCTCAGTATAAAAACTTGTTTATGAAATATTTAAAATAAGCTCTTGGAGTTGTATGGCAGCTACCTTTACCTGTTGTCCGAATGGGCCCAATTACAATGGCAACCGTAATTCTTGGCAAAAAAGAAACAACTTACGAAATTTCGATGTCATTTGCTTTATTCGTTTTGGTTTATTTGTTTATTAATCGATCGGCCAGACGGGCATGTCCAAATCACCGCAGAATTTTACACTAATCGAGTAAGAATATATACACATGTCCATATATTTTTTTTTAATTTCTACAGACTCTTTCAAGTGGTTAAAGATCAATACCAATGTTAATACCCCCTTCCCTAAGGTGCAAATTATAAAGGAAAACAACTGTACATATTGTTCAGAAGGAGGTTTTTACATTTATGTATTAAAATTGAGGACAAAATAATCATAATAATCATAACAATATAATCATCATCGATATAATAATCATTGTCATCATCATCATCATCATAAAGAGCAATAATGACTCAATCAAAAGCTGTTGGACCTAAAATAATGAAAGAATATAAAAAAAAAACCAATATAGCAATATAGATAAAGCTATTGACATATGATTACGAAGTCAAAACGATTTATATGCTATTTTTATTCTGTACACGCATACATTCATTCACACATCTAAGTGTTACCGTCTATGAATCCCTTTTTATTGTAATATATAGAATGGACAATAAAGAATTTGTACTTCACTCACCATTATTACTCAAATTATTCTCATTCTTCTCTTTCATTTTTCTACTCAATAACATTTTTTTTCTTTTTCTATTTTTTTTTCTCTTTCGATTGCATGATTAATTTCTATCGAATTCCTTTTCTTCGTTTTCGACTTTTTTTTTTTTGTGTTTTTTTTTTTTGTTTTTTTTATTGTCCTTTTTGTGATTTATAACTCAACATAGTTCACAAAAAGTTTTTGTATTTATATTGATTTTAAGGAATAGGGCCATATTAGTATTATGGGTAAGCGTGCGTGTGTGATTTAAGATTAAAAATGATTTTCAATTTTTGTTACTAATTTGTGAACTTTAAGTTTGACAGTCGTATAAATGACTATCCAAAAATTAATAGAAAGTTAAAAAGAAAAATTTCTATAAATATTTATATTAGAAAAGAAAGAGAAAGATTTGAAAGTTTTACGACACTCAACACGGTGTTCTCACGAAACAAAATTATTAATAAGCACCTACAAACAATTTTATTTCTCATTTTTATTAGTCTCTATAATTATAATTAGAAATATAATTTAAACATTGAGAAAAAGTTCAAATCAAAAGGTAAAAGTTTGTTATGAAAAAATATCACAAAAAAAGATTAATTAGAAGTCCTCGGAATTTAATGGCAATAACCTTTGAGCATAAAAGTAATTTTAATTTAATATGCTCATTCTAATTAATTATAAGTTGTTCTAATGCGTACTAATGCTTATACTATATAAATGCTGGTACTGAAGTCACATTCAAACATATTCACGACTGGTCAGCACTGGTTGTCACGAAAGTAAAGTTCCCCTGCTAACCAACTGGTTATCTATTGCGATTTTTCTCCTAAACAAATCATGTGTCACAGGTGGCTACAAAAAAAAAAGAGATTCACCTGGAAAAATGCCTGGTTTTATAGGGTATAAAAGTGGAACGTATCACAGGTGATTCATTGGTCCCTGGGAAAATCTTTTAGTGGTCACTGTATTTTTGTGAAAAAAAATTGTAACATGTCACGGTTGACACCTTAGTCTCGAACGTATTAAAGCTGTGGTATTTCAATTTTACCATAATTATGAGCTCAACAAATGTCCCTCAACCATGTAAGGGTTAAAAACGATTCCATATCTATTAAATTTAAAATTTAGTGCATTAAGAAACCTTTAAATCTTACCTATTTTTTTATTTACCTTGGAAATATAAGAAATGAAAACTTACCTTGCTTTTGTAACGGTTTATGTTGTTCTTCCATAGCTGACTCGAAAAATCTCTTTTTGTCGGATACGGTTTTCGGTGTTTTCGCTGATACCGGCGGGGACTATAATAAAATTTTTTTGTTTTTTTTTTGTTTTAATAAAAAATTTATTTATGAAAGTTTTTTAATCAAAAAAAAAAAAAATTTTTTTTTTTTGTGTTAAAGAGGAAAAATTAAAAAATAACCAAAGGATAGTTAAAATCATTCTCTTATTTTTAGATGATCTTAATCCGATTGGAACCTTGCATCATTTATTAATTATTGAATAAAATAAGAAAATGTTTTCATGTTATGTTAAATTTGTGTTAAAATGTTAAATTTTTATTAATAATTTTTTTAATGTAAAATCATTCCAATTTCAATAATAAAATTATAAAAAAAAATAAACCAAATATTTCACTTAAATTACAAATTTCCAAAAAAAAAATTTAAAAATTTTAAATTCAAACTCACAAAAAAAAAAAAATAATAAATATTCATGTTATGTTACTGTAATGTTATATGTTATCTGTAATACTTTTAAAATTAAAATGTTTTGATTTTTTGTTGTTAAAATATTTTTTTTTTTTTTACTCAATTATTTCAAGTGATCAGTTCATTAATTATAAATGGATTTCCGTGTCAATTTATGCTGAAATGAAATAGCAGAAAAAAAAACATTTTTTTTTACAAGTTTAATATGCCTGCAAGAAGACACTTTCATGCTCATTGATTTTTAATCACCATGTATATAACTTTCTATACGAGTATATGATGAAAATAACAAGAAATTGTTAAAGTCATTGTTAGCTTTTTACAAAACAAAAAATGTCAATTACAATTATGCGTTGAGGGAAAAGAAAATATTTTACACTGATATTAGATACACATATGAGCTAGAATAAAGCATTATATTTAATATTATATAGGTGTATAAACTTCTAAATATTGTAATATGCAAGTCATGAAATTATGAGCAGATGTTTAGGTTTGAACATATTGGAAATTCATACAGAAAATGAGGTCGTCATTTTTCTATTTTGTCTTTTACACTGTTTAAAATTTAATATTTAAATTATGAACTTCATAATACATATAGTATTCACGATTAGCAGAGAATTTATGTTGATGAAAACCTAAGGCATATTTAATACTCTAATAAATATCTTCTATAAGCTAAAAACTATGTTTGATGTTATTCTATGGGAGTAACTATACACATATAATGTAATGCTTCACAGTGATACATCAGAATTTTTTGTAAAGAATTGACTTCAATTCGTCAACAAATATTTCATATTAAAATCTCAAGATAACCAAATTTTGAAGAAGCAAAAAAATTATTATTTTTAAATATAATCAAGAAAGAAGATATTTTACAAAAACATAAAATTTTTATTGAAATTCATTTAGCACGTTTTGTTACCAATAGAAAACTTAATGAGGAAAAACGAGTAGAAATTTATTTCTAACCATTTTAAAACTTGATTTAATCAAAATAATAAAATTTCTTACAGAATTATTGAAAGCAACACATATACGGGAAAAAAAACTAACTAAAGATGACCAATGTGGAAAAAAATAACTATAATTGATTCAAATTTTTAAAGATTACAAGAAATTGAAGCAAAGAATATTGCCCTTTTGAAAAAATAGGAAAAATGTTCACCTTAATTATAGTATATAAGAATCAATTTTATGTAATTAACTATCTAGAGATAAGAGAAATTACTTTAATCACAATTAGGAGCTCAGACAAATTAAATTGAAATATTTCAAGTCAATTCCAAAAAAAAAATGTTAAGTATATAAGAATATTTTAAGATTTTCTTTTCTTGTTTTGGAAAAATACCAAATTTCCTTTTGAACATTTTTTTTTTTTTGAAACATAGTATGTTTTTCCCGAAACTATTAAATAAAATTTAAAATAAAAACATTATACTTTATTCAGACTACGGGAGAATAACATGTTTTGCTGTTCGATTAACATGTTAAACAAAATTGGATTCACACTACAGAAGCTGTTTACATTTAACAGTAAATTTGCTTTAGTTAACATTTTCTTTATTTAAAAATTTTGAAAAAATATTTTTGTATTTTGTGTAATTTTTTTTATTTTGAAATATTTTTAAACTTCAATTTAATAAAAATTATTATGGATTTAAATATTTTTGAAAAATATTTTGAAATTTCTTTCAAAATTCTCAAAAATAAAACATTCACAATATGAAAATCAGTTTTAAGACACATGTTATTTTGGAAAACATATTCTTTGAGAATAACATGTTATTTGTTGTAGTGAGAAAATAGGGTATTAAAATTATCTGAATAAATTACAAATTAAATTTCATCGGAATTTTTGCCGTAAAATCGTAAAATTTTAAATATCGTAAAATTTACATTTATTGTTTTCAGTTCATTTTGGAAGTTCTAACACTCCGCTAAAACTAAATTTCTTATTTATTTCTACATACTACATTTGTCTTTATATTTGTAAAGTTTAAAATCAACATGCCCCTAAATAATCCTTAAGAACTTAAAATAAGAAAATAAATGAAAATAAAAAAATTAATAATTAAATTATTAATATTAAAAAAAAAAAAAACAAAGAGGACAACACAAAATAAAATTCAAAAATATGAAATTTTTTTACGTAATATTTTTATTTATAAGCATTCAAAATTAATAACAAAAAAAAAAACAATAAAACTCAGAAAAACAAAAGTGTTAAATTTCGTGTTTTAAAATTATTATTTTTTTTTCTTCCAAAACAAATATTAATTATTAAAAATTATTTTTAAAATAAACAAAAGAAAAATCGCAATTTTAATTTTTCCCAACTAAAATTCAATCATTTTTCAAAACAAACAAATATGCAATAATTAAAAAAAAAAAAATACTGTATGACTTAAAAACATGACCCTTTAATGGATAACGTGCGATTTAAATTAAAATAATTTTAATTAATTAAAATAATAATGTTTTTTTTTATTTAAAATATTATTTGTGTATGTGATAAATTGCACTTCTCTCAATCCATTATTTATGGCAATAATTATACAATTATAGAGAATATACACATGTAGATAATTAGACTATATGACAGTGTTTGTAATTAATGATTCTTTATATACGATATTATGTAAAAATTAATTTATTATTATTTACTCTTAAAATCCCACATGATATTGATTAAAAAAACAAAAAAAAAAAAAAGGTTCAATCATGGTAATTGTTACTATCATTATTATTATTACTGTTATTATTATTATTATTGTTATTAATATTAAATTAAAGCTAGAGCAAGAGCAAGAAATTATCATTTAATAATAATTAAAACAAGAAATGTTTGATGGCCAATAATCCAATAATTAACATTATTATTATGTTAAAAATATAAATTCCATTAAACGAATATTTAATATTATGTATAAGAGAGAATGTCAGAATATACATTTAAACATTTAATATAATTATTTACTCACAATATAATAAAAATATAATTTAAATATAAACAAAAGAAAAAAATATTAAAAAATTTAATTAATTATTGCAAACAATACAATAATTAATAATCACTTTATTTTTTTTTTATATGGAAACAAAATTTCAATATTGTCATCGCTAAATGAAAACTCACAAAGTCCAAAGAGTGGATTTTGAGTAGTTGAGCTTTAAAGTGGACTCTGTGTTCATGCTAATAACTGTTTTGATTGGTAAAAACAAACCAGTTTAATCGCTTCCAGCTTAATTGCGTTCTCCATAATGGAGATATGAATATAATATTCAACGTCAAAGAAAGACGATTAATTGTAAGTTATAAGAAAATTAAAATTTTTCATACGAGTATTAGCTACAGCTGAAAGTCATTTCATAACATTTTTCGAATAATAGCAAAATACAAAAAAGTTGAAGGGTGAGCATTACTTGAATTATAATTAATTTGTTGCGAAAAAATTTGTTTTTCTATTTTTTTTTTCAAATTTGATCTTAAATTTCTCTCGTTGCCACGATATTCTTGAAACTTTTGGAAATATTTTGTAGAAAAATAAATGCAAATGTCTTTCATTTTGGAAAAGGAAAAGTACATGTTAATAATGCATAATACTGCGTAATAAATATTAAAAAAATTTGTGTTTCAAAAAATTTTTCCAACATTATGTTATATCAAAATGAAGGTCAGATATATAGGGCTTTTCTTCCTGTAAAAAAAAACGATAGGTTAATAACGTGAAATTGTGAGTAAACTGACTTTACACTTGAATATCTCTGAAACTAAGAAAGTCTTTGCAACCACTGGTATACCGTTAGAAGAATAATTTCTTTAGCTTTACTTGTCATATTTCCAGTTTTCGCATGTTCCAACTTTGAGACCCCATAACTCGAGAACCAGAACACAAAGAGCAAAATGTCACTAAGTGTTTTTTATTCATCTGAATGTATTCTATCACCCTGCTTCGGGAATACTATTGAGTCCCGAATATCCTGTATAATTTAGATATTTCAAATAGGGTTTTCTTTTTCGGTACACGTGGTCCACAAATATTTATTGCTCGGTAGTCGTTTTTATAATCTTATCTGTATTGAATTTTTTATAGGCGATTTTTTTTCAAATTTGAAAAATTGAAATTTTAGCCAATTACCTGATTCTTTTTTAGTATCAACTTTTCTATTTTTAATTATATTTTCCGTTATTACAGTGGCATCTAAAAAATATTTCAATTCTGTTAGCTTGTATTTAAATGGCATAATTGAATTTCAATGATGAAATTTCTTGTTTAAATAGAGCTAGTGAATTACTCTAAAGCTCTAAAAAAATTTTGACATCAAATTTGAAATTTTAGCATTAATTTGTTATATCTAACCCATTTTAGTCAAAAAAATTGACTTAGTAGAGTTCCCATTTAGCAATGACGATATTATAATTAGTCAAGTAAATTTATATAAATAATTCGATTTTAATATTGTAGTATGCGTTAAATCGATTTTTAATTCATTTTTATATAATATTGTATGATGTTTTCCGATTATCTACGTATCGTATGTGTGTGTTAGCACAACAATTACGTGAAAATATACACACT